TAGAAGAGAAAGCAGCGAGAGCACGCATAGAAACCACAGTGGATTACATTCAGTTTTCTGAGGTGTTCAGCAGAATCTAAGGTTTCATTTTGAAAAGAGCCTCTAGATATTTTGGCTCTAAATATCACTTTGAAAAATGACCCACATGAACCAAAGAAACTCCATAAGCCTGGCTTTGCAGAAAGTCTGAAACAGGTCAGCCCAGGGAACATTTTATTATTCACGTGTAATAGCTCAGATTCAGTCAATGTATGAAATAGTTAAAGCTGTCAGGTCACAGAAAGTGAAGGAATTATGGAGATTGACAAAAAAAAAACAAAAACAAAAACAAAACACTACAAGTCACTTATGTTTTCAAAGGGTTGTTTAAAAAGCTCATTGTGGAATTGACTGGTGAGATTTCATTGATTAGGTCTGGGGCTCGGTTTCCACCAGCTGGGAAATACCTATACAAGAAATCTCTCTGAAATAAGGAATGTTTCTGAAACTGGCAAAAGTTCAAAGTAATTGCTGTGATCTTCTTTGACCTAACCTACTAGGAATTTGTGTGGATTTACTTCCTTCAGCACAGCAGTCTTCTGTCAATAATGTTGGCATGAATATATGGGATGAAGTTATAAATAAACAGCCATCAAGTCCATCAGGATGGCAGGTGAGAGCCCACTCCAAGTATACTCCACCTTTCCTCTAGAAAAAAAAAAATCATGTCACAGCAACAGTGAAGGGTTTTTTATTTTCATTGTTGTTTCATTAAAATTAACTGTACAGCTGGGCTGTATTTGTTGTCCATAACAATTTGCACTCTGTCATTTTCTTGTTTAGTTAAAACAACAGGCAGTAATAAAATAAGGGCAGGTGAATGTGTTGCCATGGTTCCTGTTTATAGTGCAGAATAATAGACATAGAATGAGCAGAGTCAGGAAGGTCACACTCCTCGCCAAGGAAATCTACATCTTTTAATTCAGATTTTGGTTTTAGTTGAATTGCTTTTTCTGATTATCCTTTGCTGGACATGCAAGTTGGATTATGTGACTGTATCTCCAATTGCATTTATTGCTTCCCTTTTCCTAAATGTTATGTGTCTAAACCCAGAAAGAAGAGCATCCGGAAGTCATGGGAGGAGGCAGATACAATCTCACTCAATCTTCCTTAGAAATGTTAAATCTGTCTGGCTTGTGGTTTTTACAGGTCCTTGTGATGCAAAGAGAAAAAAAAAAGCACCAAGGAGTCTTACAGTTACTAATTTATCATTTCCATAGTCTCCATCTGCTTCTGGTCAGATTTTAAGTAAAATAATGTTTTTGTAGTAGCAGATTCATTTCTTCATGAAGTGAAAGTTCACTGTGTAACTACAGTTTGCGAAATAAATGCTTCTGCTCCTTGGCTGCTTTGTCTCACCTATCCCAGATAGGGCCAAGAGAAATTGTTTGACTTTTGGCATAAGTTAGTTATACAATATAAGTATATTAGCAAACTGTAATATAAATAAAGCTTCCCTTCACTTTTAGCATACAATTTTTGCCAGTTAATTTCAGTCTGAGGAAAGCAACTCAATAAAGGAATCTCATTCTTTCTCAGTTTTGCTCGAACATTCTGATAGCCAAGGATACATGAAAAATCTCTTTGTTATAAGTAGCACTTCATTTTTGTTTTCCCCAGACTGGAGATATTGTACATTCTTTCTGGCCTTTCATCTGGTTATTGATCCACCTTATCCACACTGCCTGTCATATTGGACAGAGTCAAAGAGACTTCCAGGAAGAAAACCTGTTATCTAAATGAGGAAAAGGTAGAAAAGTTTCTCATTTCCCTCCTTATTTTACTTCATTCTCCTTCTTACCAAGGAAAAGTTCAAAAAAGCCTTTCTCCCTGAAAACATTCACAGACACTTCAAGGAGAAGACAAAATCATCTGGTGCAGCACTTGCTGAGAACGAGCAATTACCTAGCATTATCTTCCGCCAGAATGAACAACACAGATCCAGATGGACTTTCTGATCTCTAATTGTCTCTATAATAAAAAACATGTCAAAATATTGTTAAAAAAGACCTAGATGTATTTTGTTGTTAATAATCTCGAAGGCTACAGGCAAAACTGAAATGATTGGCACAAGAAGTTTGACTGCTCTGCATGCAGTTTTCAAGCATATATTGGCTGTGTCCCTCTCTAAGGGCCATATTTTCCTGCCATCTCTAAGTCATTACATGACTCAGGGAATATTTCATACACCTCTATCCCTTTATTTAAGTGAATTTATGAAGTATCCATGCATGCATATGAATGTTATTTTTTTAAGCAGTTTATATACAAAGATGCTGAAATGAGGTGCTAAAGCATACGGTGGGTGTGGTTTTCTTCACAAGCTTCCTAAGAGTCACACCATGAATCAAGTCTGTTTCCCAGAACAGTTTATCCAGTTTGTCCTGACCTAGTAAGATGGAGATATAGTCAAGAGATAAGCTAAAATTCCCGTTATTTCCGCAGATAGACAGATGCTAGCTGGTGCTAGGAAATGTGCATTCAACTGACTCAAAGCCTTTTATCAGCTGTATCTGGCAAATACTACAAAACATAAACAAAACACTCCAAATTTATGGTATATAAACATGTTGGTATGTGCATGTGAGACTTTAAGTCTTCCATTCTTTGTCAGTTCTGTACTGGGACCATCAAGAACTGGTATAAAAGATGCAAGGATGCTATAAAAACTTTTCCTGTTTCCACAAATGTCTATTTCATGGCCATGAGCAATTGGCTAATCCCAAAGGGGACAGCTAATCACAGCCAAAATGGAAAGATAAAGGAAGTTCCATTAAGTGTTTGGGCATAGAATATGTTTAAAGCATTGAATTTTAATTAAAGATATAGTAGAGTAACTTTTTTTCACTCTCATTCTTTTACTTTAGGGAGAACAAGGGTTTGTTCTTTAAACCATCATTACTGTTGCTTTTACTGTTTCACTAGGCATAACAGAGGTGTGAAATGCAGAGGGCTGGTGAAAGGGAATACCTGAAGGAAACTAGCAAGGAATATTCCAACTGGATACAATGAAAAAAAAAACCTCACCATGAGGGTGAAAAGCCCAGATGGAAATGCTCATCTAAACAAATGAGTCTAACTTTATTTTGGCCATATTTGTGACAACTACTTCAAAAGTCCTTCAGAGGTGCTTTCCAGCCTGAGTTAGTCTATGGCTATATGTGTGTGGCTGGGCAGCAGACAATCTCGTATACACATGAAGATAAGTAAAGCCAACTGACTTGGAAGGAAATCTGAGAAAAGACAACATGAATAGCTAGATCAGTTTTGGTATGAAACTAAGAAATCAGTTTTGAGGAATGACTTCATCTGAGAGCTATAAAAGCTCTCCATTTCCTCTTGTCCATTGTCCTAACATTACATAAAGAAAAATCTTTTGCCAAATATTAGACTTTATTAATAAAGAGAGAAAGGTGCATAAAAAGAATAAATTAACATAAAATTGATTCTGTAACAAGAGAAAACTGGAGGTTATGCAACAACACACTTTGGCAAGATTAACTTCATATTTGATGCTGTAGGTATAGAAAGATAAGAGGGACCTTAAGAGCTGAGACTTTCTTGTATAACTGAGCAAAATTACTTTCAAAGTTTTAACAGCAAACAGAGATCTTAGATGACTTGCAATAAAACTAGTCCTTGAAAGAGAGCAAAGGCCAAGCTGTGTTGAATTAGAGCCTACCACCATTTCTCTAGTGGTTCAGAAAATGCCTTCCCTGAAGATTAATTTCTGCAATTGGAAGAATTCTTTTGAACATGACCACTGAAAAGGTTGTCTGCCTGAATACAGAAATAGAAACAGCTGGTCAGGCTTTGGAAATTAAGGTCTTCAGGTTAGAAAGGAATCTTACAGTTGCCCTAAGATGTATCTAGCACAAATCCTGTACCTGATAAAAGACTGGCATGATTATATATGAGCCAATTTTTCTAGCCCTTGGCCATGGGGTGGGCAGATCAGATTGAAGATGATATTTCAGGTTCAAATGAGATTTAACTGAAAAGCTGCAACACCATCCCTCTGAAGTCAACATTAATTCTGAGACAAATAATGGATGCTATTTCTGCTGTTTCTTTCCACACTGAAAATTTTTGGTACAACATACCTCTGGAACTGCAGTCAGACCTATTTCAGCAGACACTCCCTCTGACTGAAACCCATATAAGTAACTCTGCATCCCAGGCTGACTCAGACCTTACTCATCTTCATTAGGGAGCCAAGTAACTGATTTTTTTTTTGTGATTTCTGCTCTAGTTCAGAATATTAAATAAGACTGGACATCCTTTGAAGGGGCAGAAAAAACATGGGCTGCATAATTAAACTCTGTGAAACTTTAACAAATTCAATTTATACTCTATTGCTATATCCATTTGTTTGCCCTTTGCAGTACTTACTCCAGTTAAGTTTGTCTTGAGTGTAGATATTTGCCTCCAAAGAGAAAACAAAAAATGTAGAAGAAACCATAAAAAGTTTCTCCATTAGAGACTCACCCATCATTTGTTCAGAAGATATAAAGATGTAAAGGTAGCTTCCTGAAAGTCTCATTAATTGCTAACTTTGCAGCTGGTTAGGTTGAACTGTCTTTGGGGAAGAGGTCATATCTTTTCACTCTCTGGGAAGCTTCTTACACACGCTTACTGTTATACAAATAGAAATAATGAACCGTCACAGTGGTAACCAACCCAATACTCCCAGATGCTTCTTAAACAGGTGATTAGGAAATATCAGAGAGGGAAATTATTTCAACCAAAACAAACCCCCCAACACTCTTTTATAACTGATCTGCCTGTGACCACGGCATCTTTTCCTTGTGCATGCCAACTAGTGCTATCACTGGTAGGACCACTGGAGGTTGAGTGTGGCAGAGTACTACGCAGCAAGAGAAAAGGCCTTAAGCTCCTAGCCCAAACACATTTAACCTATCAGAAAAGAGACTGGGGTGTGAGTTAGGTGGGTTACTCACGGCTCAGCTTCAATGCTCTGGTCAGCAGCTATATAGTTGGCAGGGATGTAGCCCTGGAGCTTGTGGCCGGCACAGACTGACCCTGTTGGCAGGATGAGCCTAGCATACCACCAGCCTTCATGGGATGCATCCAGCACTTCAAGTTTGTCCCCGGCTCGGAAGCTCAAGTCCTCCTCAGTGCGAGCCTCGTAGTCAAAGAGTGCCACAAATCTGCAGATATTCACCAGATGCTGGCCCGGCAGTGGAGGTAAAGGTTTCTCCCTTATCTTACTGTCTCTGTCTTTCTGTCCTGCTTGGAAGTCGTGCCTTACTGCAGCCAGGTTAGTGAAGACCTGGCCGACTTTCTCATCCTGCTCAATGTCTCGCCGCGAGAATAAGCAGGGGATGTAGGGCTCTAAACAGGCAAAATGCTTCTGACAGAAGTTTCCCATCCTCTTTCCTTGTGCCTTCCTCTGCTTCTTCTTTTCTTTGACTTTTCCCTGTTGTGATACCCTTAGGCCAATTTTTGAACCATCAACATTTTAGATTTTTGCAGGATTTCTTCTCCTCCTCCTCCTTTAGCACAAAATGAAACAACTCCTGGCACAGCTGGAGGCTCCTCTCTGAGCCCCAGTGAGAGCTCATTACCAGCAGCTCCTGAATCCGGAGTAAAGCATGAGTATTCAAGGGCCGGAGTGCACTGGGAGGGAATTTCTCACTTCCTCTTCGGAACAGGAAAGCAACACAACAGCTGTGCTGGGCTCGGCTCCGGGAGCGACGGGGGAGCGCGGAGCCTTTTCTCCCACGGCCAAACAGTGTCAGAACATCTAGGCAAGGGAGGATTCTCAACTCGTGCTGCTTGGGATGGGTGTTTTCTTATCTCAGATGGGGTCCTGTCATATGATCAGCGGTGAACGTCTGTAAGTTCTTCTTGGTAATGATTAACCAACCTGACCTGCCTGTTTCCTTAGCAGTCTCCGACGTGGACAGCTTGAATATTGCTTTTTTGTTTCCTGGTTTGCACTGGTTTCAGTTCCCTGGCGCGCACCTGCAGCTTCCGCTCCCGCTCACACCCGGCTGCTTTCCCCTGCCAAGTGCCCGCCCTTCAAACCAGTCCTCTGGCTTTTTTTTTTTTTTTTATTGAGCTGGGTTTGGCACTTCTTACAAGGAAAAGAAAAAAGAAAAAAAAACAAAACATAGAACTTACAGTAATATAGAAATAGATTTTAATTCATTCCTTATTCTGTATTTTAAGGAAACAAAGGCACTAGGTAAAAAAAAATTTTCTAGGTAGTTGGCTAATTATATCAACCACATTTAATAATAATGGCTATCTTCCTGACACCATGTAAGCCAAGGAAATTACATTGACCAGTATATTCCCATTTCTAAAGCACCTATAACCTTGTATAGAGGCCAAGCAGGGGGTTCTTGATACTGGTGTGGCAAAAAACCTGGAGAGCAAACTGCCACATCCTAGCAGTACAGCCCAAGCTTTAGAAAAGCTGGAAATCACCACAAGCTGAAGGACAACACGCTGTGCTTGAAATGGGAGCAGGAAGCACAGAAGATAGCCTGTCTGCACCTTGGGGTGGCATTTCAGTAGGAGGCAAACTTTTACAGATGAGAGGTCAATCAAAACACACACACACAGACCTATAGCATCCGGGTGATGGAGAAAATTTGCTTTATTTTATTTTATTTTATTTTATTTTATTTCTTAGTCAGGAGTAACTCTTTTCCTAAACCACTTACATATGTATCTCAGCTCCATTTAGATTTGCTAACTTCTGCTACGTACTTTACTTGAAGGAAAACCTAACTGAATGACTTAGAAACAAAAGCCACTTGTTTTCGTCATGTCTTTCAGTCAGTCGTTTGAATGTGGAGACCAGTGGCACAGATAGAAGATGGACTAAGGACTGTGGGATGACTGCAAAAAGTTTCCACTGAAAGTTTATAACTACCAGGTGCATCTCTAACAAAGAGCGATGGGGAACTGCTTATTCCTCTTCTGCAATGCTGCAAAAGAAACTGAAAAAAAGTAGATAGTCCCATGCACATTAAGTGATCATTAAACCCCATCATCTGGAGTGAACCCTTTGGATCCAATGAAAAAATGGCATGCTGATTTTGCAGATTATGAAAATCATATATAGTTTCTGAAGCACCACTGGAGATTATTTTTCCCCACAGCAATTATTAAACGTTACCCAGATCAGTAAGAACACAGATATGCAAGACATATTTACTTTTTTTAGGTCTGATGGGCAATATCTAAAGTCAGGAAAGGCATGTTTTGAAAAAGAAACTATCATTATTAATCCTGTTTAAAGAATTACCTACATTTACTGAAACTAGAAAATATTAGAAAAGATGTATTAATTATTCTGGGTTTTTCCAGTTTGCACACATGATTGGCTTTTCCTGTAATGTTTTGCGGTTCTGGCAGTTTGGGCATTAATCTGACAGGGATTTGCATACACATTGACTGAACAGAACATCTTCATGACAGTGGAGCCACTTGCATTGTACACAATCAATCTCATGCACAGCTCTTTTCAGGATCAAGACTCATCTTTACACTCAGGTACCAATATATATACACATTAGAAATCACACTGCATTCACAGAGACCTCTCAGACAAATATTTATAACTGTAGCTAGAGTGGGGCTTAAGCCTTCAAACACTGTGTATATAAATTATACGCACTTTTTAGCGCTGTGTCCTTGACAATAGCTTAATGAAGCTGCTGTTGGCAAAATTTGATATATATGGAAATAACTATAAATCACATTAATCTCCTCCTAACTCTTCAGGTTCATTTCTGTTTATGAAACAGGTAGACTTTAACATTAGCCATGAAATTCTTAGTCAGATTTCAAACCCTCCTCAAAAAGAGAGAGGAGTGGGATTGCTGAGAGCTGCCGACAGATTCCTGAGCCCGTGTGGGTCAGGACTGTGACTGAGCTGTGGTGCCCACAGTGCAGCAGTGCCTCTGCGAGGGTCTTTGTTCCCATCCTGGTGGCTTTCTTGAGGATTCTCTGAATTTCTGAAAATAAAGCAGTACTCTTTATGTTTTAGAGACTATGATTTTATCACAGGCAAGAAAAAATGAACATGTAATAAAATCATTCTTGCTGATTTTACTGAAAAAAATAAAATCTGATAAATCCCATAATCCTAATTTTCATGATCACAGTTTGGACCAAAAGAGTATAATCATGTATATTCAGAGGCTTTTCAGTAGAAACTATTGTCTGAGTCCTCTGCACTGGTATTAGATGTAATTTAATATGATAATATTTGCAGCACTTATTTCTAGGCTTAATTTAGTTCTTTTGCCTTGCATCCCATCATATTATCTTTTTGTTTTTGCAAAAGGAGGACAAACAGATCTGGATTGCTTACTTGCCTTATGTATCTTTACTTAATTTGTTTTGGAGGCTGAGTGTCAAACCAGAAATTGTCCAGATAAATTAGCTACTGGATGTCAAGTGACTGTGAAAGACATAATCAGATATATTGATGAATTTTATTAGCAAAAATGTTTTCAGAAGGACAGAGGAGTCTCACCTCATTCTTAGTCAGCAATAGCTAATGAGAAAGATAAACTTATTATGACCAGAATGGTACTTTTAGAGTATGGATACTGAAATTTAGTATCCTGGTCCATAGATTATTTTTTAAAAGTCATTAATATTGCAAATGTTTTCTTGAAATATACAACACCAAAGATGGATCATTTACAATCTGTGTCAGACAGGATCATGTAAATTTAGATTTTAGAAAAGGAAAGAAATTATTCAATGAAGTAGTACATTTCCCCTCCAAACTGGGTACTTCTCCATTGCTCTTAAAGTATATTTCCTTGTTCAATAAAGAAAAAAAAGTCCATACTGGTGATATAGGTTTGAGGATGACAGATATCTGAAGTTACTTTTTATATTCTGTATGTTGTTTACAAAGTAAACAAGACTCTATGTAAATAAGACTCTATGTAAATAAGACTCTTGCAAGGAGCCTTACCACTGCTTCAAGGATTCATTTGCAATCCTCTAAATCCATTAAATTGAAGTCTAATTAACTTAAAGTCAATATTCATCTCAATCATAGAATGATTTGGATTGGAAGGCACCTTAAAGACCATCCATCTAGACCAGGTCGTTCAAAGCCTCATGCTACTTGGCCTTGAATATTACAGGGAGAGGGCATCCACAACTTCTCTGGCAACCTCTTCCAGTGTCTCACTACCTTCACAGTAAAGAGTTTTTTTCTGAAAGGCCAATCTAAATTTACCCTCTTTCAGTTTAAAGCCATTGCTCCTTGTCCTATCACTACATGCTCTTGCAGAAAATCCCACCTCATCCTTTTTGTAGGCCTCTCCTTTAGATACTGGAAAGCTTTAGGCCTTGTTTATTCTACAAAACAATCATGTTTAAACACAGTGGTGAAACTTACTTCTCTTACTGGCCTGAACACACATAGAAATAATGTGTGAATATGGTATGTTTTAGTAAACCGAGTACAAACCTAATCTGCAAGGCTAATATTAATTGAAGCGCTCTTGGAACGAGGTTCTAATCTGCATGAATTAAGGTATCAGACTGAGTCATAGTAAATAAGTACAGACAAGATTTGAGTCTATAATATTTCAAGTTTTGTTCTGCTAGAATTTTTGTATTCTACACTTTCAAAAATTATTTTGTATAAGTTTTCATTACAGATATTTACTAAGCTTATTGGTTTGTATGTGCTTTGTATGGAACTATTTGTACAATTACATAAAACCTTGGAGTTTTAGAAAAAATGAACTGTCCTCCACCTCATAAACATGCGGCTCTATATTTCAGAGACAGGGTGTGAACATCACCAAGTATCAGGTTTTGGTGCTGATGATACATAAGGTTTGAAACAATTCCCCTATGCCACACAGAGAAGTGTTATAGACAGAACAGTACTTTGCTGAGGAAAAAAAGAGAATATTCCAGGGCGATATCCACTAACAGTTTCATTAAGAAATATGAATCTGTTCAAACTCAAAATTGAAAGAGTAGTTTTTCTTAAAATAATGAGATCACAACAGAAACAAACGTTTTCCTCCATAATTGTTTCAAATCTTGTAAACAGGAAAAACTCCAGGTGGGAAAGTGAGAAATTAAGATATAAAATACAAGCATCATAATTAAATAATGTGTAAAACTGCCGCCTGTAGCATCACTTTATATAATCTCAATTCAGTAGTTTCACTGCTGCATTAATATATGCTAATTTAAATATTTGACATAATATATCTCACTTAGAAAAACTTCTTAATGCATTATCATAAAGCAAGTCAAATGTTCCAGTAATGTAAAATATTTAAATAATATAATCTTTAAAGAAATTAGAAAAAAAGCAAAAGCATACTGCTTTTTACTGGGCTGGGGAAATAGTTTCAAAGATTTTTA